GAATGAATGTGAAACAAAGTCACTAAAGATTAATGTGAATAGGTTTGAAAGAACAGGATGACGATGAAAAGCATGATACATCGATACGACAAGAATACTTTGATTCAGTTGCAAATTTTCCCGAGAAAATGGATCAGTTATTGGGAGCATTGAATCGAGTAAATATGTCGTTGATTTGGTTTTGTGCGTACTAAATCGTTGTTTGATTTGTATTTGTAGGTGTACATGTATCAAAAGACAGAAAGGGAAGAAATAATACTTTAGCTTCTATGGTATATTTTTGTTTATGTCGTGAAAGTTCGTGCTTCATTGTTCCTAGTTACCCAGCTCGAATTGTGGTTGTGTTTACGATATGCATATAGCTGCTTTCTAGTGTAATATATGTTGTAAATTGAAAGAATATTCAACTAAACCAAACGATGTTCGGTTGCGTGAAGACTCAAAATGAAAAGTCAAACAAACTGAAATGCAAAAGACTCCGGGGCTTCACTAATGATATCACTCGCCATCTTATGCTGAAGACGTTGAAATTGATCAATGAAATAGTTGAATTCTCTACCGTTGAACGAGCAGAGAAAAAAATACCGAAAATACGGCTAGTTAGTTGTAGGATAAAAAAAACAAAAGTTAATAAATAGAAGGAGAATGATGAAAGTGCTGCTGGAGGAAATGGAGGAGGAATTAAATTAAACTAACTCAGTACTCCTATAGGAATATTTATATTGCGGATTGTCGAATTCATCGCATTGTTCAATGGCGCTCTAATGGAAATCAGAAAAGGATTGTTGTTGGTAGAGATAGACGCGAAGAAGAATCAAATTCATTTTATTATCCATGTCGTTTAACATTCGATTCTGAAAAACATCTTTACGTTACCGGTTCGGAAAATCATCGTATTCAAAAATTTTCCCTTATTTCTGATAAAAATTCAATATTATTTTCATTTATTGTAATTAAACGAAAATTAATTAGCAGAATGTGGATGAGAATATGAAGAGCTCCCACCTGATTGTAAAGTCTCCAGGGAGGAACATATCGGGTTCGTATCTATTAACATATAAATCGACATTGAAAGGATAAGAATGAGATCATCGTTTCCACTCCATACTTTCGCGTTTATGCATTCTAAAGTTCAACAAGTTTTGCATGCGATGATCTTATTTTTCACAAGTTACAATAAGTGTTTTAAACAGCCGAAAAAAACTTGAATTGATAATCCAGTCAACAGAACTGTGCGCCGTTTGCGACACAATCGAACTATTTTGACTGTTAAAGATAGACCTATTATCAAAATACTTGTAATACTACCGAAAATTCCAACAACAATCGTAAATACAATGAGCCAATTCTTTTTTCCAATATTTTATTTAAACCATCATTGATTCCTTTTTTCGTTTTTGTCTTGTGATCAAAAGTTCACAGGTAAAAATTTCATAAAACAACGAAAACTTATCAATAAATCATACGGACACGTTATACTTAAATCATTTACTTCGGATAGATAATCGAATTTTCCTCTCCGCTTGTTATAGTTATTAAATAATGTACATACAAAATGTATGTGTTAATACTTAATGATTAAATTGTAATTGATACTCATGTTCTCTCTTGTTCATTAAATCACAGTTTTTTATCGACTTTTTTTTAAATATTAACACTTGAGAAAGTATTCCAAACACGTATCTTGTCATTTCGACAACCAATTGGATGATTTTATTGATGATTATTCGATCAAATATCAAGGGACAATCAAATAAGATATTTTAATAATATTTTGGAAAAAATATCATTTTGAATCATAACTTGTTATATACTTACATCTGCTGTTTCTTGTAATCTACCAAAATTCTGTTCTAATGCTCTTTGGAATACAAATTCAGTCACGTTTGCAACCGAACCAATGATTGAAAACGCACGAAATAATATTTTTATAACTGCTAATAACACAATTTATGTGATTGACTTCCGAACAATGCCGTATTTTGGTTTTGCCTTCAAGGAAATACAGATCTAACAAAAGTTAAAGATATTGAGCAGAACCCAAATAGTTTGTTCGTTACATTAAATGCTAATATTTCGCTTCAAAATCAAAATGAAAACAATAGCCAAGTAAACAAATGTTTATTAAATCCAAAAAAGTTGCACAAAGACAGCAAAATTCGGCGACAGATGTTACGGTTTTTTTATGAATATAAATACTATGCTTTATTGTTCTGTCTACGATCATCATGTAGTCGAAAAAATACCACTTAATCGCAGTGTGAATCAATCGATGATTGATGCGAGGACAGAGAATAAACGTGGAAATGCATCCAATATGCTTCATAATTCTCATAGAATCTTCGTTTATACTAGTCTCAGTTTATATGTGGCAGATTTTGGAAACAATAGAATTCAGTATGTCCCACCAGGAAAAAAGAGCGGCACAACAATGACGAAAGATATTAGAATAGATGGTGTTGAACTCAACGGTCCGATTTCAGTCATTCTTGACGCGAATGATAATTTATATATTGCAGACTGTGGAAATAATCACATCATAAAATTAAGGTCTTATTACGTTCGATGTTCGAGAATGGACTAGGCGGATCTGAGATCGGACACTGTTGAAGTATATATAAGAATGAAATATAGAACTTATTAGAAGAAAAAAATTTTCTAGTTGCGATTGACACTTCGACAAACAATATGATAAGAATATCTTCGCATTTGATAGGTTCAACATCATATGGCATAGCAACAAGAGCCAAAACTTCAAGTTAGTGTACTTTTTTCTCAAATGTTTTATATTAATTAACTATTCTACTCTTTTAGCTGATTATTCAATCTCATTAGTTATTCCAAAGCTATGCGATGACGCTTCCAATATTGATTCTACTTGTAATCGTTCAAATAACATCGGTCTTCATCGAATCCATGTAAAAGCAATAGTACATGTATCCATATAAACAATAATACTGTTGGTTTTATCTGTTCCTGCCCATTAGATCACAGTGGGTCATATTGTGAATGTAACCATCAACCTTGCAAATCGTATACAAGTCTAAATCATGGTATTTATATAATTTTCTTCTTTTGTTCTCTTATAAAAAAAAAACATTATATACAAATAGGCGAATGTTTTCAAACCTTACCAACAACATTTCATTGTACATGTGACGATGATTGGTAAGGTATTCATTGTGAATTAATGATAGAGTATAGTAATTCTACAAAGTCACTTGTCATAATAATGGCATTTACCGACTCTTATTACTTAATTATACATATGAATATCTTGGAAATGATTGTTCTTCTGGTCTTCATTATAGAAGTGATATCAAGGAAAATTCGAAATTTTAAATTTATGTCAAAATCATATTCATATATTGCCATTTTTGCTTTAATTGTTATTGTTAGCTTTATTGTAATTACGGATATATGAAAATATTGTTTTGGTATTGATCCAGTTGCTGATGAACGACGAAAGATCTGACGAGAGAAATTAATGATAAAACGACGACGAGTTGTTTCTATTAATCGACCTTCTCAACAATCAACAACGAACATTCCGAATATTACTGTAGAAGATACAACAGTTTAACGAGAGAAAAAAAAACACATTTTCACTTCATCACCATCTTCTTCTTCTAGCTAATATATTCAAAAATATCAATTTGAAAAAGATTTTGTTTCTGTGTAATTATTTTGGATGACAATTACAATTACAAATATTACCATAAGGATGAACAAGAAAATTACCACTATAACGATCAATAGTGCCGGGATTAACATAGACATGATAGTAACCAACAGGACGATCATCATGACCACCGCGACCATCGGCAATATAAAGACAATTACGACAACTATCACACGGCTTCTTTTGATATAATAATAATTCTTTTTCCAAATTCGTTTTCATATTATCTAAAAATATATGTAGAAAAATAAAAATAGGAACAAATATCTCTTTACTTACCGAGTGATTCCAATCGATCCATTAAATTAATTATTTGATTAGATAATAACTCGATTTTAGCATCTTGACGCTGTACTTTCTCCTTCAGAACTTTGTAATCACTGTCAGAGGCCATCTAGAGATTCAATAGAATGTGTAATATAAAACAAAAAACGAACGAAATTAAATCACTATTAAATACGAAACTCGAATAACATTCGATGGTCACTTATATACGTAGGAGAAAGTTGGAATTTCCCATGTGATAGACGTGTATTCTAATCAATAAAACTTTTTTTCCAAATAAAAAGTGAAGTCATTTACATTTGTTTATGTTGGAAAAAACCTTTTTTAATACATAACAACGCACACTTTTACTGCTTACGTCAACATGAAAAGAAAAAGAACGTCTGACCTTTATTGACTAACGTATTCTTTTTCAATGTAGTTGCATACATAACTTAAAATTATATCGTCTCATAAAATAACAGTTGAACTTTCTTTTCAATCAAGTAATCTCTCAAGTATTTTCATACATATATGGAAAATCTCAGATACATTCTATTTTGATATCTGATTGAGTCGATGATTAAAATTATTCTAAACGAAAAACAAAAAAGCATCGAGCGAAATTCAATTAATACTGAGAAGACAATGAAATGTCATTGATAGAACTTAACTCACTTTTCTCTAGTTATGAAACACTGTAGCTCTAGAAAAGTTTCTTGCCAAATTCATTCAAAAAATCCACAGCAAATCGAAACATGATTGTCATTTTTTAGAAGAGAATTTAGGAGACATTCTTTTTATGGATTCGAATAGAGAACAGAAATGCTCTATTTTTGTATGCAATGTGACCATACTTCAACTGAGATACAAAAGTGGTATTTGTAATAGGCGTCTTTTTGTGAATGTCTCATAGTCATAGGAGTAATAATAAGTATTTCGGAGTAGCTTTCGATAGGAACAAGATAGAGAGCTGTAGTTTTCACTATTGGAAAAAAATGAGTAAAAGTGCACTGAATTACATTGTTATTCAAATATCAATAGCTAAATTGTTTTAAATTGGTTTTCTAGTTCACATATAATTTGTTTTGCTCTCAGAAAACAAAACAACAAGTAGTTTCGCGCAAATACATTGAAGAATGCTCCAGTTTTAACTACAATTCGTTGCATTGATTTCAGATTTTAGTAATTTCGAGTTCCTCGACTAACATTTTTGATCTAAAAACAAGTTTTCAAAAATCACCACAAATCATTCATATTAACTCATGTAATAGATTTGTTTGCAAAAAAAAGTAAAACTAATAGTCATACTTACACTTCATTATGAAAATGTATGCAGAATTTGATTCGATGCGTCTTCGGGCGCTCGTTCTAATGGCTAAAACTGCAGTTCTCTGTCTTGCTCCTATCAACAGTTTCTCAAAAAATTCTTTTCATTGTATGTCAAACCAGCGCAGATTATAACCAAGAGGTATTTGCAGAGAATCGCTTTTTTTTTCAAATATCATTTTTGTGTCTCAGTTGAAGTATGATCACATCGCATACAAAAATAGAGCATTCTGTTCTCTATTCGAATCCATAAAAAGAATGTCTCCTAAATTCTCTTCTAAAAAATGACAATCATGTTTCGAGAACTGTTGAATCACCCTATGTAAATACTGTTCTTTTTAACATTTCGTCTAAATAATATAGATAAAAGAAATATGAATGATAAATTTTCATATTGTTCGTTATTCATTTCAATTCTCATAGTGTTCAACACAAAAGATTCGAAACCATTGTTAAGAAAATATCTTTAGAACAGCAAGGAGCAAATATAAACTATAGTTTGTGTTGGCAACGTCATTTGCGTGCAGATGAAGTATACATTGCATGTGAATGACTTCTCTCAAGAAAAACTACAGTCTAATGTCATTACATTTGCATACAATTAATAAATCTTTGTATTAGTACGTGCGTCGCCATTTGGCTCTGAAGAAGCCTTTTAGATGTATTCCTATGTATTTTGTTTTTCTCTTCTTATTTAGGATAGAAATTTCGAACTTCTTTTTTAGGCCGAAACGTAACCTTTCATTTTTATTATTATAAGTAGTAGAGAGAATGTTCGAATCGTTACAATAATACAATGAATACTAATCCAAAAAACAATGAGATAACACGCAGTGATCATTGTCGTATGCCATTAACTTCATTTTCGTACAAACACAACGCTGTAGTTCATCATTCACAATCTCAACCATCCACGTTCAAAATCCCTGGTCAAATTCATCGTTCGTTATCTCAAGATCAAGTAAATTTTCTTTTGTTTTCAATATTTCTGTTTTTAAATTATCTCGATATAGAATTCTCGTTCACGAACAAAAGACAAACGACCTAAAGTTATTATTCATACAACGATCCAATCGGTAACAAAGAGTATTAATTCAACCAACAATAATTTACTCTCAGTTAGTAAGGTTTTTTAAATATTGAATTATTCTGTTTTTTCAAAAGACAATGGGGCACGCGTTGGAGATATTTTGAGAACGAAAGATAGTATCATTTTGGTAGTTTATTGTGGAATTTCTCCTTTTTAGTCTATGATTTAATATTCAAATTATGTTTAAAGAGTTTTCATTTGTGCATTTGAATGATTTCTATTTCTATTTCTTTTGTTATAGTCGTCTCACATTCAAGATAGAAATCATGACTGGGAGAAAACACCACGACAAAATAATTCGTCAACAAGGACACACGATAAAGTCGAAAGATTTCAGGAATACAATCAAGGTACATCGCCAATAGCCAACGACTACTCACGGGTAAAAACAAACCGAGCTAAATCTTATCCTAAAATGTCTAATTAGATATAAAATACTTTCAATCGATTTTATGATAAAACTAAAACTAGAGAGAAAATGAATAGAGATCGAAGTAATTTACAATCTATTAACTTGCGTTATAGTATCAGCACATACAAAAGTTAAATACTTTTTAGCGCAATTTGTAGAATGCAAACTATTACAGAACGGTAGATGAATAGCTAAGCAAAACTTCTAATGAAATTTCTGATTTACGTTGTGTCCATATTCATTCTTTAACTCAATGTAGACAAACGATAAACGGATAAACCAAACTGATCTCACAGATATACAACATCAGAAATCAAAAAGAAACAAGAAGAGAGGGTAAATAAGTATTATATTTTATTCGTTATCATATTTTAATTAGTTTTCCTTATTTCTTCTGCTGGAAATGTTCACCTTGCTGTTACTTTTTGTCTCTAACTGCTCTTATCCTTCTTGGCGCTACTATTGCTACATTACTACTCTTGTTCGTCACAAAGCCTCAATCTACAGCAATGACAACAACACCGTTTGTAAACGTAACGATAACCTCGACAGCACCAACGACGATGTCCACAACACTATCAACAACGATTTCGACAACGGCTTCAGCAACGATCCCGACTACAGTTTCGACAACGGCTTCAGCAACGATCCCGACTACAGTTTCGACAACGGCTTCAGCAACGATCCCGACTACAGTTTCGACAACGGCTTCAGCAACGATCCCGACTACAGTTTCGACAACGGCTTCAACAACGATCTCAACTACAGTTTTGACAACGGCTTCAACAACGATCTCGACTACAATTCTTACAACAGCTTCAACAACGATCTCGACTACAATTTCGACAACGGTTGCAACAACATCAACTACAATAGGTAAGACTGCGTTTGCTTTGCATAATCGTCAATATCTGACTAGAATGATTGAAGGGGGTGTAAAATATTAGGTAGTTTGTATAATACTCCTTCGCATTTTATTTTAATATAAAATTTGTGCCTCAAATAATGACACATGACTTATAAAAAGACACCTACGTTTGTTTCTCGTATATTGTGATTTCATTTTTTTGATGATGAACAATTTTCCTAAATGAAATATTTTGCTATGAGTAATATTTCATAACCTTTAGTTTTGTCTTAATTTCTGCCAAGTGTAAAAATTTCTGGGCAATAGGTATTTCTGAGATCTTGACAGCCTAAAAAGTTGTCAAGATTATCGAGTGAACTTCTGTAATGCGAAGGAATATGAAATGATTTTCGTAATGCAATTTTCCGTTATTATTACATAAAGGTTGATAACGTTTTTCCTTTCATAATAGCTGTATGCATGAATTTCACAACTCAAGTGACGTATCCAACTGGCTCTGGATCTGCTCCGTTTCCCATAACAACAGGTGATGTCAATAACGATGGTCACATTGACATTATTGTTGGACTCTCAGGTTCGAGTACAGTCGGCATTCTTTTCAATACTGGTAACGGTACGTTTGCTGGTCAAGTCAATTATACAGTTGGTCCTGGTTTGACATGGTCTATCAGTGCAGTCGATGTCAGTTCGGATGGCAAACTTGATCTCATTGTCGCAAACTCTGACGCTGATAACATCGGTGTTCTGATTAATAATGGTGGCGGCACGTTTGCTTCTCAAGTCATCTATGCGACCGGCAACGGTTCCAAGCCACATTCGGCGGCAGTTGCTGACATCAATGGTGATGCACTACCTGATGTTGTTGCCGCAAATTTCGGCTTAAATAACATTGGCGTACTCCTTAACACTGGTGCTGGTACATTTGGTACTCAAGTCACTTATGCAGCCGGCTCTCAACCGCATTCTGTTGCAGTGAGTGACGTTAATTTGGATAATCTGCCCGACATTGTTGTTGCAAATAACGTTGCAAATAACGTCGGCGTTTTTCTCAACGTCGGTAATGGTACATTTAGTACTCAAGTGACCTATCCCACGGGCTCTCAGCCACATTCTGTGGCAGTACGTGACGTGAATCTTGATAACAAGCCCGACATTATTGTCGCAAATTACGGTTCAAACAACGTTGGCGTTCTTCTTAATACCGGTGTCGGTATATTCAGTACTCAAAAGACATATCCAACCGGTTCTCAACCATATTTTGTAGTAACCAACGACATGAACAGCGATGGCTATATCGATATCATTGTCGCAAATTCCGCGTCGCACAACGTCGGCGTTTTCCTCAACTTAGGAAACGGTACATTCGCGTCTCAGAAGATCTACGCCACTGGTTATTCTTTATACGCTGTGACAACAGCTGATATTGATTCGGATAATAAACCTGATCTTATTGTTCCTAACGACGGCGGAAATAATGTCGGTGTTTTCT